GTGGTTTGTTGTTGTTTGTTGTTGTTTGTTGTTGTTTGTTGTTGTTTGTTGTTGTTCGTTGTTGTTTGTTGTTGTTTGTTGTTGTTTGTTGTTGTTTGTTGTTGTTTGTTGTTTGTTGTTGTTGTTTTTTTGTTGTTGTTGCCATCAGCTTCCATGGCTTCCACGCCATTCCTGCGTGGCTTTGTTGGGGGCTGCAGTGGGCGAATTCCCTTCGAAAGTGACCACTGTAGATCTTGAGTTTTGCCGCCTAAACCCTAAAACCTGAACCCTGAACCCTAAACCCTTAAATCCAGAGCCATCAGTCCTCTGCAGTCGTCACAGGCTGCTCGCCGAGGAGCTGGCCAGGGAACGGCCGAAGGTTCCTTCAAAGGCCTGTGGCGGACTTGTGGGGATTGCATGCGGTTCGGGGATTCTTGAAGGGTCAGAGACCTTAGGACAGAAGCTCTAGCATGCAAAGCCCGGCTACACTGAACGTCGCAGTTTCGAAAAGGCTGGGCTGAAAAATCAAGTCCAAGGCGATGTGCCCTGGAAGCAGGGAGTTTAGTTACAATGTGCCATGTTTCGCACACTGTGGAAGAGATCCACCATGTGTAACACCTGCCTTGTCCATCAACCTGCGCATGCAAGGACGCCTACATGCTGAAGTGTATGGCCCAAACTCTGACCCTGAAGCCCCAAACCCGACCGAAGCTCTAAGCCCCACTTAAACCATTGCTAAGCCTTGCAGGGATGCGTATTTGGAGGCTTCGGGCCGAAAGACCATCATGGAACCCCAAAGATACTGGAAGTCAGCAGCCCTGTACTTAGCCCGATCTGTCTGTAACTGATATGTCACAGTGATAGTCGCAACAGCGAGACCGGATACAGTAGTAAGTAGTGCTAGACATATCCATAGCCATCAAACACGTGGGAACTGCCCTCATGATACTACGTATTAAGTCAAGTTAAGGTTCAGAAAGAAGTTCTTTGTAGCGATGACAGTCATATTAGCAGTTAGAGCATCTCGGATAACGAGATCACGCTGATGGCGATGTTGGCGATGAACTATGGTGATGTTGTTGGTGATTATGATGATGATATTTATGAATGATGATGATGATGATGATGATGATGATGCTGTTCTTGTTGTTGATGATGACGACCATGATGATGATGATGTTGATGATGATGATGATGATGCTGTTGATGGTGATGATGCTCATAATCATAACCACAGTACCAAGAAGAAGAACACCAATGAGAAGCAGACCAAGCATACTATAGCAGCCTGAATAATTAGTACTAATATTCCTCAAGGTTCTTTGCTACAGTTATACCATGGAAAGCCCTGAAACCTATTCTGATTATTCAGGCCCCTAAACTAGGGTTTAGGGTTTAGGGGTTTAGGGTTGCTGCACGGGTTTTGGGTTGAGGGGCTTATGTTTTAGGGTTTAGGAGTCTAGGGTTTTTTGATCGACTTGAGCTTGCAGGGCCGCAGACCGTCGAAGATAGCAGGCTCCTGGCTTTGTTGTCGATTCGCGCTGTTTTGAGGGTTTGGGCTTGCCTGTAGGAGCCTAGGGTTCGGGGCAAATTGGGTTTACATGTTTGTATGGGGTTTGCGTTGAGATTAGGGTTTCGACGGGTTTTGTAGGGCTTCTTAGGGACGTCGGTGTGTGTGTGTGTACACTTTGTGTGTGTGTGTACATGTTGGGGTGTCTTTTTTTTGAGGAAGCGACTTCAATAATCAGTAAACATCCACTTTACATGTGCCTGTGTCCATAGTCTTGGATTACCCTTCTACTTCAGGACGACCCCTACGAAACCCCAGCCAGTCCCTTTCAAAAACATAGTCAAACACTGTAAAGCTCATGTCGGATCGGTGCAAGAGCCGAACAGTCGAACAGCCAAGGCTTTCGGGTAAGCTCCACATCCAGGTTTTTTTCGGTTTAGGGTTTAGGGTTTAGGGTTGAGGGCTCAAACGGGGTACATGGGTTCTAGAAATCGAGACACCCAAACCAGGCCGCGCCCGCTTAAAGTTGAAGAGACCCGGAGATCGACTGGGCGTGACACTACCCAGGGGCTCCTACAGGTGTCGTAAGCGAAAGCAGCCTGCCAATCCCTCGTCCCAGGGCCCGATAAGCCCGAAGCCCTACATCCTAAACCCTCAACCGTCAACCCTGAACCCAAAACCCTAAACCCAACACCCTGAACCCTAAACCCTAAAGCTTCAACCCTAAACCCAAAACCCTAAATTCGAAGCCCCATACTCCACGATGGAGGCCTCGAGACGGCACAGCCACGTCCTTTCGCCGGGGGCTGACTGCGATGAGCGGCGTAGAGTTTGCGGGCGAGTTCAGGGGGTTCAGGGGGGTTCAGGCTGTAGGGTTTAGGCAGGGTTTGGTATTTTTCAAAAGGCTCGCCGCAGAGCGGCAAGAATTTCTATGGGTTCCTGCCGACAGTCGTCAGAGTCTACCGCCCAAACCATTACAGGGCTTGCGGCCGGCTGTGCTCTGGGACGAGGCATCCTAGAAAATTCTTGGCTGCAATTTGTTGGTTTGGGGTATGGGGTTCAGCTTAGCAGCTAAAGGTCTAGGAGTCTAGGGTTTAGGATTTCGGTCTAGCGTTTGTGGCTTTCCTCTGACTGACTCGCCGAAGCTAGGCTAGATTTCCGCAGGTTGCAGTCCCATGCATGAGTGCATGGACGGCTTCGCGAAAAAGCGAGGGGTGTAAGACGTAGTATAGAAGCCTAAAATAATTACCAATAGTATTCCTCGGGCTTCCTTGCTATAATTTTACTATAAGGAGCCCAAAACCCTACTAAGGCCCCTACATTAGGAGGAATGCGCTTGCAATTTGCAGTGGATCTTGCACCGCCCGGCTTTCGGAGATTGGAACCCTCAAAAAGCACCGACACCGACTCTCTCCCAGGCCATAATATAGGGGTCAATTTGTTTTAGGGTTTAGGGTTTAGGGTTTAGGGTTTAGGGTTTTTTCCCGATACTGTTTTGGGGGTTCCCTAATATAATTATAGTAGAATGGGCCCCAAACCCTATTCTAATTCTTAAGGCCCCTACATTACCTCAGGCCCAATTTCCTGGATCCTCGACTGCAGGGCAAATCTGGTTTAGGACCCTCAAACTCTAAACCCCTAAACCCTAAGCCCTGAACCAGAAGCCCTTTAGACAAGCCCTAAACCCCAAGCCCTAAAACCCTAAACCCTAAACCCTAAACCCTAAACCCTAAACCCTAAACCTTAAACCCTAAAGCCCTAAATCCCCCCCAACGCCATAAACTCCACCCCGAATGCCGGAGTCTCCCAGAAGAAGCGCTTCGGCTTGCTTTGTGGATCCTTGAACAAGGCACCCCGAACTTGAGATCCCCATCTAAGGTTTAGGGTTTAGGGTTTAGGGTTTAGGGTTTTTATGATAAAACCTCCCAAACCCTTACCACCCTAAACCGGAAACCCCTGAACCCTAAACCCAAAAAACTCTAAACCTTAAACCCCTAAACCCCTAAAACCCTAAAGCCCTAAAACCCTAAACCCCTAAAACCCCAAACCCCAAACCCCAAACCCCAAACCCCAAACCCTAAACCCTAAACCCTAAACCCTAAAGCCCTAAAACACTAAAGCAAGCAACCCCCGAAAAGTCGCTGCCGAGGAGCTCGGCGAGCCCCTGCCGCTGCAGGCGCCTGCGGTAGACGACGCCCCGAGGTGGGCTCCTTTAAAGGGATCCTTAAAGGGTTTAGGGTTTAGGGTTTAGGGCTTAGGGTTTTGGGTTTTGAGTTTTGGGTTTTGGGTTTAGGGCCTTTAGGGTTTAGGTTTCCATAACAGATCTATATTAGGGTTCTATAGTAGGGGCCTTCATAATTAGAATAGGGTTTTGGGGTTGCTTGGGTTTCGGGGTGTAGGGGCTTAGGGTTTAGGGTTTAGGTTTTAGGGGTTTAAGGTTTAGGCGTTGCTTGGGTTACGGGGTTTAGGGGTTTGGGGGTTGAGGGTTTTAAGGGTTTAAGGTTTAGGGGTTGCTTGGGTTTCGCGGTTTAGGGGTTTAGGGGTTGAGGGTTTAGGGTTTTAGAGGTTTAAGGTTAAGGGGTTGCTTGGGTTTCGGGTTTAGGACTTTAGGGGTTTAGGGGTTCTGGCGTTTCGGGTTTAGGGGTTTAGGGGTTGAGGGTTCAGTTTAGTTTTTTTTTTTTAAATTGCGGTTTTGGGGTTTTACCTTTTAGCTTTTCTTTGTGGGGAGGCTTCAGGTTTTTGCTCCCGGGGGTCACCCCGTGTACAAGATAGGCTGCATTTTCGGCGTTTGAGTGTGTTACAACTGGACCCTAAACCCTAAACCCTAAACCCTATACCGTAAACCCTAAACCCTAAAACCCTAAACCCTAAACCCTAAACCGCGCGGAATTATGGATCGGCTCACAGGTTCCCGACTCGCAAGGGATATATGAGTAGCTGTCAAAATTATGGTCCCTTTTGGGGTACCCTAAATAATAGGTGCCGTATTATAATAAGGACCCAAAACAGGACCATAATTTTGACAGAAGTGGCAGGGCTTCAGAAAGCACTGTTTGCCCAAGAGCTCCGTCGGAGCAATCCGAGCGATTGCCGATACTGCTCCTTGTAGAGTACTGTAACTTCACTTCGCTCCATTGCATTGCGCGTCTTTGCGTATCTCTGTTTTTACGTTCAAGAAGATGCCGAATAAAGTGAAAGGAAGACTGCATGCAAATAAAGCACTTGATGGATTTCAGTGCAGTGCAGAACAAGTGAAAGACAGAATGCACACTTGATCTTGCATAAAAGTAACTGGCCATCTGCTCACGGTGGCTCAGTTGCGAGCTGCCACAAGGTTGCAAGTCTGCTAAGGTGTGACACGGTAAGCCACGCCTGCTTTCGTGTCCAAAAAAATGGAGTTGAAGCTCCAAATGGAGTGATGTAATTTACCTCTACGTGGTTTTGCTCATAAAGATGCAGTGCCTTGCATGGGAAGGACCGGGACGTAATGAGGCTGAAGAAGGACGCCGTGGACATTTTGCAGATGGTCTCTGAAGCCACGGTCGTTGCAGTTTTGACTGCATGCTAGATGTTCCGCACAGTGCAATCCGATGCCCATCATCCAAGCACCGGGCCGTGTTGCTGCGGAGCAACCTGTTCGGCTTAATGGAGATTGAAATCGACTCCTCGCGCCAAGTGCTGTAGGCCCTGTAGCCGCGCGAAGGAGTGTCTATGGCACTGGCGACCTGCCAACATGGGTCTAGCGCTACTTGCAGATCCTGTAGTACGATCCTGCACAACTGCGCAAGCAAACTTTCAGTGACCTTAAGGCCTTGCGGTTTAGGGTTTAGGGTTTAGGGTTTAGGGCATCGGATTCAGGCTATGCTTGCTTCTGAGCCCCTTGCAGCAATCAGAGAGGGGTCTCAGAATTTCCGCCAGTCCCTGCAACCTCGTAACAAGCGCTTGAGAAGGCTTCTAGACTCTGACCCCGGGTATTTCTTGACTCGGCCCCTCATATAAAGGTATCAAGCAGTTTCAAGACATTTCCAGTCCCTAAGCCCTATAAACCCTAAACCCCAAACCCTAAACCCAAAACCCTAAACCCTAAACCCACTACAGGCCGCAGGTCGTTACGGCGCCCCTGCCGCCCAGCGCCACCGCGCAGGCGAGGGCCTCGGGTCCCTGAGCCCTATTCGCTGCATCCTAAACCCGAAGCCCTCAGCGTGGGGGTCTACTTAAAGGTTCATGGGAATTAGTAACTAGGAGTATAGATAAGGCAACTATGCTTATAACTAAAAGCCCCAATTACGGTATTATACAACTGTACTTATTAAGTCCCATGAACCTCCAAGTAAACCCTAAACTCTAAACCCTAAGCCCTAAATCCCTAAACCCCATTATTAAGGGGTCACTAAGTCCCATGAACCTCCAAGCCTGATTTCGGAAGAGGGGTTTGCGGCTGAGGGATCGGCTGCTCGACCCCCGATTGCTTTGGGTTTCGGGGTCGAGGCTGAGAGCCAGGGTCTACGGTTTAGGGTTTAGAGTTTAGGGTTTAGGGTTTAGGGTTTAGAGTTTAGGGTTTAGGGTTCAGGGTTTAGGGTTTAGGGTTTAGGATTCTAGATGCTAAAGCTGAGGGCCACTGAGGGCCAAGATTGTTCAAGGCCAAGGGTGGCGGGTTGCTAGCTAGTTGATGCATACTGCAGGGGCCTACAGAACTGCCAGCACTATTTTTGAGGGCTCCTTATTGAAATTGTAGTATAATGGTCCCCCAAACCCTATTCTAATTATTCATGCCCCTATATTAAGCCTTTATAGGCTTCTCCTTACAAATGATACATGATAGTATCTTATTTGCACAACAGCTCCGCATTTTTTGAAATGATCATAGTTGCAGTAGTTATGCGCCCTAAACCTCAAACCTGAACCCTAAACCCTGAACCCCGAACCCTAGACCCGGAACCCCGAAACTTAAACCCTAACACCACACCCTGAACCCTGAACCTGAACCTGCAGTGGTTGGAAATGCCTTCTGGGGAAGTCCTGCCATGGTTTTGCTTTCATCCTTACGGTATCGTGTACTTTTTGAACTTTGTACAGTATAGTAAAGTAAAGTCTAGTATAATAAATAGAGTATAAAACAGCATCGAACGGTATAGTATAGTCTAGCATAGTATAGCGTAGTATCGTATAGGCGCCGCCTGACAACAGGGTATGTGGGTGGCGGCAGATTTCGCGTCAAGCGACCTTCCTTGTGCGCTGTGACTGAACTCGGTGAAGCCCGAAGTTCTCACAGGCAACCACCCACACCATGTCCTGTTAGGGCTAGGGGCTTATGCCTTGAATTCCCACACCGTGACACCATGTCGGTAGGGGGGCCCGGGTTAGACGGGAACCCTTTTTGGCAGCAGCGGACAGGGCGTCTGAGACTGGGCACTGCCCCGTCCGTCCCTACATAGGCTCCACCCATTGTTTGCCCCAGAAGGGTGTTCTGGCTGTCGGGCAGGTTCAGTGTCTGGGCACTCAGTTATGGGTGGGAAAGGGTCCAGCAGGCCGGGTTCAAGGTTAGGGTGTTGCGTCTAGGTTTACGGGTTTCAGGTTTATGGTGCTTCTATGGGCGCGAAAGCTCAGGGATGCCGACACGGTAGTTCTTGGGTGTTTTTTGCTTTCTCCTTTTTCGGGGGTTCTTCTCCAAACAACAGTTTTGCTTACCTCCCAAAGTGAATAGAGAGCAAATCCTCCCAATCCCGCTGGCCCCAAACGCTAGCCCGGCCGATTCTCGAAGCCATATAACCCTTGCAAGAAGAATTCACAAACTGTGTTTTGGGTTCAGGGTTTCCCTGGGGTTGGATGGAACAGTGCTCATAAACCTAAACCCTAGACCCTAAACCCTAAACCCTAAACCCTAAACCCTAAACCCCCTTCAGAGCCCATGACTTGGGTCCTGATCTCCAGAGAGCACCAACTCCCAGGGCCCTAAACCCCTTAGGCCCCTTAAAAACCCAGACCCCCGGAAGGATCCAAAAAGTAGATCCGTTAAGGGGGGTTGGGTTCCTATGGAGTACCCTTTAGTAGTATAGGGTCCCAAATTAGGGGTTCTGCTTTCTAGATCCTTCCGGGGGTCTGGGAAAAGCAGAATGATTGACCGGACCCAGAGAGCCCAATATTCCTTAATTGAGGAATATACCTTAAATCATAATATTGAGGCCCGTATAATTCAAGGTATATTCCTTGATGAAGAGGTATTGGGGGCTCTGGGGAGTGTTTATTCTAGCTAAACCTGGAGCCGCCCTAACCAACCCGAAATTTGGATCGAACATGGTTTCAGGGTTGCCTTCAGGTCACACAGCCTTCACCGTCCGGAGGTGGATTGGAGAAGGCCTGGTCAGAAATGACGGAGAGTTTGAAATTCAGGGGTTCAGGGGGTGCAGGTTTCGGTTTAGGGCTTACACTTTAGGGGTTTAGGGTTTTGGGTTCGGGTGCGGGTTCGGGCAGTAACATCTGCCTTGAGTGAGATATTGTTCATGTACGGAAACCCTACCGGATACTATGGTTCCTGCCTTTTTTCTTCGGGCCACTACTTTTTTTGGGGTTCTGCATGGATCATTGAGCGGAGCTCACAGCTTTGAGGAAGGATCAAGGCATTGAGTTGCCAGGAAGCGTTTCGGGTTTAGGGTTTAGGGTTTAGGGATGTAGGGTTTAGGGATTTAGGGTTTAGGGATTTAGGGTTTAGGGTTTAGGGTTTAGGGTTTAGGGAAGATTGGGGTTTGCAGTGTAAAAGCAACAGAACCATCCAAATGTCAAGGCACTGCCAAAGAACCAAACAAAAGACAGAACGCTGGCCGCAACTCTATTTTCCAACAGAGAGCGCAGGGAAGCGCTTCATATACGAACCTCAATAGTTAGACTAGGTTTTTTGGGGCTCTATTTGCTAAAATTCGATTGTGAACCGCAAGGCTTTGTTAAAGCCTTAATAATTAGAATAGGGTTTTGGTGCATATTATACGATAATTGTTACAAGGAGCCCCCCCCAAACCCTAATTTAGTTATTAAGGCCCCTACATGGTCTGAAAAACCACGAATCGGCTCTTCATGTCGGTGCACAAGCTTTCTGAAACTCTGTGGTCATCCGTGGCCTAGGCCCTGCTTCCACGATTCTGCTGGATCTTCTACGCTCGCCCCTGTACTTAAAGGTTCATGGGACTTAGTAATTAGGGGTAAAAATAAGGTAACTATATTTATAACCCCAATCAGGGTACTTATAACTATATAACTATATATATATATATATATATATATTAATTAAGTCCCATGAACCTCCAAGTAGTGTTGAGGACTTCACGGTTTCGGGTTTAGGGTTACGTAAGGCCCCCCGAGTGAGCCCTGGTGTTGCTTGACCCTCCCTTCAGGCTTCCCCGCGGCCGCTGCGCCAGCCAGGCCCTTTTGAGAAGGGCGTCCAGGGAAGGTCACAATGCAGGGTTTCAGTATGAACGCCACGGCAATATCACTCCTCTTTCATGAGGGTGATTCTCTAAATTAGGGTCCCTCTTGGGGGTCCTTTTTACAAAGGGTGCCGTACTATGTTGGGGACCCAAAAACGGACCCTATTTTAGAAGACTACCCATGAACCCTTGCTCAACCCTATCTTGACTCTGCGCGAATCTAGCACCACACTAAAGCCCTGAAGCTTTCAACCCTGCACTCTGAAACCTCACCCTTCAACGCCCTGGGCTGTAAGACCTTAACCCTAAACCCTAAACCCTAAACCCTAAACCCGAAACCGTAAGACCTTACCTGAAAAGTCAGGATCAGGCTTTGGGGTCTATTACAGTATATGGGCAGTTGTCTAAATTAGGGTACCCTTTGGGGTCCCTTTTAGAAGGGTGCGGTACTATATTGGGTACCTAAAAAGGAACCCGAATTTAGAGAACTACCCATATAGTGCTAATGAGGAGCCCTGAAAAAACTAATGGTAATTCCTGTTTTTCAAGCTAATGTTCGGCCCCTTTGGGGGCGCTGAACACTACTATCTTGAGCCCCCAGCCAAATTGTGCTGTGTAGCTTAAGCTAAGCACCGACTATTGACGAAATTGACATGGGCTGTGCTGGTGGGACCTAACCCCCAAAGTTAGATCATGTTCGGGATCCTCTTTGTCATATTGTGGTTCGGGCTTCCTAATAATGTAGGAACCCGATCTAGAAACCCAGGCCTTATACCCCCAAACATATAAGGTTTCATATTAAGCACCCTAACAAAGACCTAGGGTTTCTTAATCAGGTTCCTATAGTACGCTTGATGGACAAAATCCTGCATGACCTTATATATCTAAACTATGGGATTTATGGTACTATACTATATTTGGGTCATGCAGAATTTTGTCCATCAATAGTATTTTCTACAAGGCAGGCGCCCGTACCAAGGATTCCCGCCTTCTGAGCGCTCAGGGGCCAAAGCCGGCATAACTTGTAAGCCGGAACAACGTATAATCCTGTCCCGTGGTAGTAGGATTTAGGGTTTAGGGTTTAGGGCCTATTACGATCTACCATCTGCCGTTTTCTGCCCAACCTCGTGAAGCCCTTCTTGGGGCCCTTAAGTGGGCTCCAGCTACTCTATTTGCAAAGGCCCCTGAACCCCTATAACCCCCCCCCAAATGCCCTAAATCCCTTGTCGATGCCTCCACAGTGCCTTTCAAGAGAACCCTAAACCCTACACCCCAAACCATGAAAGCTTAAAGCACGAAGCCCGCCGAAGCGTGCAAGGAGGGGCCTCGCCGCCTCAGACGCCCAACGTTAAGGCAGGTGAGCAGAGCTCGAGGGTGAGGGTCTGGGTTTTATGGTGGTTTGAGGGTTTGGGTTGAGTTTAAAGGGTGTGAGGGTTTGGGTTTTAGGGTTAGGGAGTGAGGGCCAGTTTAGAGTTTGAGGGTTTAGGGTTTGGTGTTTGGGGCTTCCGGGGTTTCGGCGTTAGTTTCCGAGTCATGAGCCAGTAGTTAAAGGTTCATGAGACTTAGTAGCTAGGCTTATACATAAGGTAACTACACTGATAGGTATTAATAACCCTAATTACGGTACTACATATCTGTACTTATTAAGTCCCGGGAACCTCCGAGTAGGGGGCGTAAGCAGTTCCTGCAGTGGCCCGGGTGGCTTTCACGAACCCTAAACCGATGAGACACCTGCCAAAGCCTCCTCCGGTTTAACTTCATCCCAGACCCCCGCAAGGATCCAAAAAGTAGATCCCTTCATGGGGGTTCCTATAAAGAGCCCTTAAACCCTAAACCCTAAACCCTAAACCCTAAACCCTAAACCCTAAACCCTAAACCCTAGTAGTATAGGGTCCCAGACCTGGGGTTCTACTTTCTAGATCCTTCCGGGGGTCTGGGGTCCGGTTTAACTTCCTTCTGGTGGCCAAGGCCTAATATAGGGGCCTAAATAAATTACCTCTACTGTTTTGGGGGCTCCTTGTTATAGTTATAGTATATTCTACCCCAAAACCCTATTCTAATTATGAAGGCCCCTACATTATAGAGCCCTTGTAGTAACCCTTACATAGATCCCTTTTTGAAGGAAGCCTCAACCCCAAAACCCTATTCTAATTATGAAGGCACCTACATTACCAGACTTTAGGGTTTAGGGTTTAGGGTCTAGAGTTTAGGGTTTAGGGTTAAGGGTTCAGAGTTTAGGGTTTAGAGTTTAGAGTTTAGGGTTTAAGGTTTAGGATTTAGAGTTTAGAGTTTAGGGTTTAGGGTTAGGGTTTTATCTCTGGTTCCCCCAACCCAGGCCCTCGGGAGCATCTAGAAAGTAGAACCCCTAGTCTGGGACCCTATACTACTAAGGGCTGTTTATAGGAACCCCCCCCCCCCCATTTAAGGGATCTACTTTTTGGATCCTCCCGGGGTTCTGGGACCTTACATTCTAGACCCTACTTAGTAAAGGTGGATCCTAAATTTCGTTTTCTGGTCTAAACCCTAAACCCTTGGACTAACCCTGCAGTCCAGACCCTGAAGAGTCGTCCCTGCCGAGCCACAAGGATGGCAGCTGCGCTCCCGAGAGCGAGCGCTCGGAGCTTCACGACATTAGCTTTTCGCCTCACGCGGCCGGATGACCACGGAGCCTGTAGACCTTCAAGCCCCAAATTCCTTAAACCCTAACCCTGAGCCCTAAACTCTAAACCCTAAGCCCTAAACCCTAAACACTAAGCCCAAAAAACCCGAAGCCCTAAGCCTTAGCTTCTGCCGTAGCTGCATTGCTTTCTAGCCTGGGGCTTCTTTTTGGGGATGGCGCTTACGCTCGTCGAGGTGGAGCTGCCCCTACACGTTATGTATATATATATATACACATACATACACATATGAATCCTGCATCACCTTAAGGACCCTAAACTGTCGGGGTTATTGTATATCCCTTATTATGGGTAATGCAGGATTTTTATCATCAGCCGTACTATAGAAGCCGAAATGCTTGCCAATGTTATTTCTTAGGGTTCCTTACTGTTGTAATCATACTATAGAGGCCTAAACAATTGCCAACATTCTTTCTTAGGGCTCCTTGGTAGAATCATACTATGAAGGAGCCCAGAACCCTATTCTAATTATTTCAGGCCCCTAAACCGTAAACCCTAAACCCTAAACCCTACACCCCAAACCCTAAACCCCTTAAAATTATTTCAGGCCCCTACATTACACAGAGTCCGTCCTGGGGCAGCCCAGGGTTCAGGGCCGAGTTGGGGTCCGAGCCCAAGGGCTTACTTAAAGGCTCCTGGCACGTAGTAACTAAGGGTTTAGGGTTTAGGGTTTTAGGGTTGTAAATGAGTCAACTATACTTATAATTACTTATAATCCCAAGTAAAGAAGCTAAACTTATAAGTACTTACAACCCCAATTACGGAACTTATAACCGCAATTAAGGCAACTGCACTTATAAATACTTATTATCCCCCATTAAGGTACTTATAACTGTACTTGCTAAGTGCCTTGAACCTCCAAGCGTGGAACTTAGCTTGGCCCGTAAAACCGCCCGAAGCCCTCAATCCCAAAACCCTAAATCCTAGATATGCCGACGGTACTAAGGAGGAGCCGGGCTTTCAACAAGAAGCAATCAACCTTACACCCTGAACCCTGAACCTCCCCCCCCCCCCTAAACCCTAAACCCTAAGCCCTAAACCTTAAACCCTGAACCCTAAACCCTAAACCCCAACGCTTTTAAAGGAAGCCGTAAAGTCGAAGTCCCGACCCCGATCTCCGGTTCCCCCAACCCAGACCCCCGGAAGGATCCAGAAAGTAGAACCCCTAATTTGGGACCCTATACTACTAAGGGCTCTGTATAGGAACCCCCATTAAGGGATCTACTTTTGGATTCTGCCGGGGGTCTGGGAATTCGTGCATGTCCTTCTGTTTGTACAGGTCTTGGGGACGACGGGCCAGATGATCCCTGGGTTTAGGGTTTAGGGTTTGGGGTTTGGGGTTCAGGTTGCAGAAGGTTCTCACAGCCAACAAAAAGCGAAAGAACACAAGGAGTCAGAAGAGACGATTTCCAGCGTTTGATGCGATTTAGGGTTTAGGGTTTGGCGGGCCTCGTCCGCAAGTAATTGTCCGGAAGTATCGGAACCCCCTTTATCTCCCAATCGCTGAACTCACGCTGCAAATCTCAGGACTCAAACTCAAACCCTGAGCCCTCAAGCTCCGGTGCCGTGAACCCTACAACCGCAAAACGCGAACGTTAAACCGCGCTCAGGGGATCAGGTGCTCTGAAAGCATACTTATATATGAACCTGTTTGTCAAGTTCCTGAATCCTAGACCCTCCCATCGAACTCCGGCAACAACAGTGGCAACTATAAGCCCCAAACCCTAAACCCTAAACCCTAAACCCTAAACCCTAAACCCTAAACCCTATAAACAATCAGCCTCGGGAAGATCCCGGTTGTCACTTATTTACGAGACCCTCATCGCGAGAGTCAAGGACCATCTGCCCATGCCTTGCATCTCTGGCCCGAGAAAGAGGGGGTGTTGATAGGGGTCGTCTTTTTTTGGCGCGTGTTTACGAAAGAAATAGCTTTGCATTCAAGACTTTGTAGGGTTTTATAAGGCCTTCAGGGTTTAGGGCTGGCTAGGCTTTTGGGGTTTTGAGGGTGTGGCATGCAGAGTGTGCAGGCTTTGAGTGCAACCTGTTGTTTCTGGGGCTCATGGTGGATGTGCCCTAAACCCTAAACCCTAAACCCTAAACCCTAAACTTCCAAAAATTGGAGTGTTGTAGTGACGGCTCTGTCGCTAGGGTCTTATGTTGAATGGGAGCATCATGTAATTACAGGGAATTCCAGGGGTTTAAAGCTTTGAAGCTTTAAAAAGTTTACGGCTTACAAAAGTCGGGTTCGAGGTTTACGCCTTGCACTCGCAGCTTTGCAGTGCACAACGTTGTCCCATTTTTCTCGGCATCTC